AGATGAAGATGTGAAGATGAGAAGATTTGAAGATGAGATACAGGCCCCCACTATTGGAAGAACCCTGCGCTCAGACGCTCTCGGGAATAAATGAACCCTAAGGAAACCATAAATTAATCCTAAAGAAACCATAAATGAAACCATAAAGAAACTTTAAATGACACCCTAAATAACATCCCAAAGAAACCCTAAACAATACTCTGAAAAAAGAACCTCAATGAAACCTTAACTGACATCTTAGCTGAAACCCTAAATTGACACCCTAAAGAAACCCAAAATGAAACCCTAAATTGAAACCCTAAATGAAACCCTAAATTGAAACCCTAAATGAAACCCTAAACTGAAACCCTACATGAAACCCCAAATGAAACCCTAAAGAAACCTTATATAAATGACACCCTAAATGAAACCTTAAAGGAACCCTAAAGGAACCCACTTGAACGTTTAGAAATCATGAAAAGAAATCCTGATAAGAAACCCTGGAATGAAACCCTAAAGAAAGCATGAATGAACTCATGAATGAAACCTTAAATTGAAACCCTAAATTGCAACCCCAAAGAAACCTTAAATGAAACCCTAAAGAAACCTTAAATGAAACCCTAAAGAAACCCTAAATGAATCCCTAAATGAAACTCTAGAGAAACCCTAAGGGAACTCTAAATGAAACCTTAAAGAAACCCTAAATGAGACCCTAAATGAGGCCCAAACTGAAACCCTAAAGAAACCCTAAATGAAACCCTAAACGAAACCCTAACTGAAACCCTAAAGGAAACCTTAAATGACACCCCAAATGAAAACCTAAAGAACCCTCAAGAGACCCACATGAACGTTTGAAGTACCAAAATGTGGCAAATACCATGCAAAAGAGAGGTTGAAATGCCAAATGTGACAAATACCATGCAAAATGCAAAGTGACCATGCCAAAATGTAGCAAAAACCATGCAAAATGACAGGTTCTAGTTCCAAACTGTTTCAAATACAAGGCAAATGGTACCAGGAAAGAAAACAAAAACAAAAAACAAAACTTGAGGCAAAAAAATACCAAAAACTATTCTACACCCACATGCGTCTTCCAACACGTTCTTGATGCTACGCTCTGAACTTGCTCTTGGAACTCCCAACACGCTCTTGATGCTACGCTCTGAACTTGTTGTTGGAATTTCTAACACGCTCTTGATGCTACGCTCTGAACTTGTTGTTGGAATTTCGAACACGCTCTTGATGCTACGCTCTGAACTTGTTGTTGGAATTTCTAACACGCTCTTGATGCTACGCTCTGAACTTGTTCTTGGAACTTCCAACACGTTCTTGATGCTACGCTCTGAACTTGTTCTTGGAACTTCCAACACGTTCTTGATGCTACGCTCTGAACTTGTTGTTGGAACTTCCAACACGTTCTTGATGCTACGCTCTGAACTTGTTCTTGGAACTTCCAACACGTTCTTGATGCTACGCTCTTAACTTGCTCTTGGAACTTAATTCTAGAGTGACTTCCAGCAGTTCATTCCCAGGCAGATAGGGGGCAAAGAGGTGTCAAGCATGTCTTTGAACCAGTGAATGTGGGATTATGTTTTTGCGTTCCCATGGCGCAGAAGCACCAAAGGCCATCTTTGGAAAGCCTTAGGGGACTTGGCTTCCAGGACGTGGCAAACAGGTTCAGTACAGATCTGCACGTGCTTCTGGTGCATGTTCAGGTTAAAAAACATCTGAACGTATGCAAAATTGCCCAGGTCATTGACGACGTCTTGACCTTGTTTTTGGGATTGCCCATGAGTGCGTGAGGTTGGAGAAGCTGTGACAGATTTTTGGGAGTTGAGGAGCGAGTTGTTAGCTGCTAGCTTCCTGCAGTGTGAGGCTCAGAAGAAGCCAAGCCTAGAACCCGAAGAGTCAAACGTTGAATATCACATATATATATAGAACCTATGTAAATATACAATCTATATCAATCAATATCTTAAAATCTTAAGGAATCTGAATCAATGTCAACATATCTCAACCTCAGCGTCCCAGAAAAGCCTCGACATCTGACAGCATTTCATCACCCACCTTGCCACCTTGCTCTCAGAATTTTCCAGCCCGCCTGGCCGACAAGCTGTCAATGGGGGAAGCTCTGAAAAGTGGCATTTTATGCCACTTGGAGTTGCATAGTGAAAATTGGATCCAGCCGAGCAAGTGAATTATTTGTAGGGCATGGTGTCCAAGGGGAGTCTCCGATTTTCAGTCACATGCGAACTAGGTAAAAGTTAAACATTGGCACGTCCAAAGACATGCGAATCCACATGGATGAACTTTGATGGATTCTGCGACAACGTTGTCGCAAGTGAGGCTGGTTTCTTCTACTTGTGGCCACAGAAGGCCTCTCAAAAGGTGCCGGGCAAATTCAGCAACCAACTATACCAAAAAATACATATGTATGATTATAATACATATTCCCATATTATACCATGATAATCTCATAATCATCACATAATCACCCCAGATCTATCACGGAATTTCCCATTGATTCTTGGGTTTACCTCACTACCACCCGTTGTTGTTGACCCTGGGCTGCCAGGGGGTGGGTGGCAATGTGCTCCAAGACCAGATTCCTGTGATGGACATCGAGCTCCTCGGCTGACCCATGAATTGTAGGTCCATCAATACCATCCATACCATTGATGGACCATATGGACCATATGGACCATATGGACCATCCATTTCGTTTGGGGGTTGAAGAATCTCAACCCATATCATCCGATGACATCCTAAAGCCAAATTAGGGAGGTTAATTATCCACGGAGATGATGTGTTTTTAGCCAACAATTGCAAAGAATAAATTTGTGTCACCAGATTGACTGTAAGAGACTGTAAGAGATGGTAATGTATGGTGATGGGTTCCTATCAGACAAAAAATGGGGTTATAACGAAAGCTAGCTCCTGCTAGCTGCTAGTTGAAGTCCCTCTGCCTTTTGCAAGGTATTGGGGGGGCCTGGAACCTCCAATCGCATGAAACTTCATACTTAACTACCCCCCCTATAGTGCCCCCTGGCTGGTCCAGAAGCAGTTTGGCCGTGGCTCAATCCCCCCAGGGACACGGTCGGCATGTCGCCACCGGCAGCAAATCAGCAGCATCCGCATCCTCAGAATCATTGTGTTTTCTTGCCAAGCTCCCTACCAAGCTAGCTTTCGCCCCTTACCCCTGGGCCAAATATGTATGGTTTATGAGATGTTATAAGATGTTATCCCCGTTTGGGGCTCCTGGCTGAAACTAGGTGGCTGGAGCCAGTTTCTTTAGCCAGATTTTAGCCAAATTTAGCTTCAAGAATGTTAGGCCTCAGCTTTTTAGCTTTTGGTCCCTTTTACATATTTTAGAATTTTGATTTTAAATAAACCATGCAGCCAAAGGATTTCAGCCGAGGGAACACCTCTTGAGAACATTTTTGCAACAGGTTGGGCGCAGGTAGTTTAAGTTTAAGCCACCGACGCTTACTGAGAACCACTTTTGCAGTGAGGGTCGCAGCCAGGTCTTTATTGGACAGTGTTTTCTTGCAAGGCTCGACATTCTTGTCGCCTATAAGGTGAACATTGAAATTTTGAGAGGTGTATCTTGGGAGGTTGGATGAGGATGGGTTTGCAAAATTGAGTCATTAGTCCTTTGTGGTGTATCTTGAGACGTTGGTACAGGATGGGTTGGCACACATGCGTGGTGTAACATGGCGAGCTGATCCGGCAAAGTTCAAAACAGGAATGTGTGAGATGAAAATCTTAGGGTCTGAGGTTTTGTGGTTTATCTTTGGAACGTTGGTTCAGGGTTGGCACAGATGCGTGGCGTAATATGGAGAGCTGCTCCGGCAAAGTTCAAAACAGGGATGTGTGAGATGAAAATCTCAGGGTCTGAGGTTTTGTGGTTTATCTTTGGAACGTTGGTTCAGGGTTGGCACACATGCGTGGCGTAATATGGAGAGCTGCTCCGGAAAAGTTCAAACAGGGATGTGTGAGATGAACATCTTAGGGTTTGAGGTTTTGTCGTGTGTCTTTGGAACGTTGGTTCAGGATGGGTTGGCACACATGCGTGGTGTAACATGGAGAGCTGTTCCGGCAAAGTTCAAAACAGATGTGTGAGATGAAACCTTAGGGTCTGAGGTTTTGTGATGTATCTTTGGGAGGTAGGTTCAGGATGGGTTGGCACAAATGCGTGGTGTAACATGGAGAGCTGTTACCTCAAACAGTTTTTTCTTGATATGCCAACGTTGAAAGCTTTGGCATTTGCGATGCCAACAAGGCATTGATATGATGTGGGTGTGGAAACTGGGTGGGGAGAAAATGTTGTGATTGAACATTTCCCGCGCAAGTGCTCGTTTTATAGTTTATTTTTTTTAATCACATGCTGAGCACTGCTGTTTTCATCTCTTGTGCCATTATTATTTTTGATTTTCAACATACCCCAGAGACACTGGGTTTAATTTTGTTTACCTTGATTTTTCATTTTCGGAAATAGGGGTCAGGTCAGTTTTTCATCGAGTTATGTTTTTTTTGCTTGTACCTTGGCCCTCCAGGTTTATAAATTTGGATAATTTGGTTTTGGGATGAAAACCTGGGGCTGCACCCTAAGTTGATTGCCCAACGGGGATAAGATGTTGTAAGTTATAAATCCCGATGCGAGCTCGGGGTCACAATTCCGTGTGTAAGCCGCAGGAACCCTCATTGCTACTTGACCAAGTGGTTAAGACTATCTACCCACCGAAAAACATGCGTCGAATCCAAAGAATCAGCATTGCATTATTTTTGTTTATAAAGAAATCTGAAACATCCTTAAACTACGTCAACCGCTAAAGTTTGTTCTGGATTCTGGATGTTGTTTCAAGATATTCTGAAGGATTGTGATTTTCTATGATTTTCTAGAATGTGCATTTTTTTGTTTGCTCCTGTCCACCCTTTTTTCAAGGTTTCCCATTCCAATCCCAGCCATTCGCTCGCCTGTCGGAGAGCGCTGGCGCTTCGGTCACCTTCGGTCCGAGGAGATGTTGGTGAACAAAGCGACCATTCGAATGGCACGAAGCCTTGCGGCACCCTTCATGGTGGATTGGAATGGCGATGGTTTGACGGTGCCCGGCCACGAAATGCCCGAAATGCGAAATGATGCGGGGGCGGCTGCAAGGCTGAGAGGTGAGTTTTAGAGATTGGTTGAAAAATGAATATAATCAATGGGGATTGACCTATGATGATCATCAATCATCCCCATTCTAATGTCTATGAATGATGTGTATTATTGTGCATTACTATTATGAATTATCACTATTATAAGGGAATCTGATGGAGAAAATGATGATAAAACAATGGATGGAAAGAAGTGGCCTATTTTCAAATGGGGTTGTCTCAAGCTTTGGAAGTCCAAAAACATCTATTGTTCATCATTATTGACCATTACACAATCTCCAGAATCAAAGTATAATATATATATATGCGTATATATAATATAATATATATATGTCTGTATATATATATATTTATGCAATATAATTATAAGTATTTAAATGAAACAAACATATTATCATACCACAATATACAACATCCAAAATCAAACAGAAATTACAAGGAGTATTCCTGATTTTGATCCATCCCTGGCCATCCCATGTCAGGACCTCTTGGTAGGTCAAGGTGATGGAAGCGTTTGGTATTACGAAAGATCTCCAAAGGCTGGAGCTCAAACCGCATTGAATCCACATGTTCTCTTTTTCGAAGCGGAGTTGTGTATCTCCGTCGCATTGGCAAGACGATACCAACGTATGCTATGTTCTTCGTGCGATCAGGTCTTCAATGGATAATTTTCTCACGTGTCGGAAATGTCGTGTCAGCGCAGGATGCAATGCTCTACTGGAAAAACGACAAAGACAAAGCCAACCCTTTTCGAGTGATTGAGCCAATCCCTTTCGACAAACATGGCGGCACCTGGGCCTTGAGCACGGTGGTTTTCCAAATTTTAGGTCCCCACGACTCCCCAGGGCTCCCCAGGACCTCTGGAAAAGGGCGTTTGATTTGTTTTTGTAGGGTTTTTGTCTGCTTTTTATTGAAGCATTTGGTTTAAGCAAAACGCAACAGTTTCTCAAGCAAGTGAACATTACATAACATTACTCCAGTATACTCCACGTATAATCTTTCGATGCGGTACTCTTTTTGGTAGAGCAGGTCTTCCATGAAGAATGTGTGGCATCGTTTTGTGCGATATTTATTGCCAAAAGAAAGGAATAAAACACAATAATAAAGCACTTGATTGAAAGAAGTGCAATGTTTTTGTAAAGACTGAAGTTTTTCAGTTTGAGGTCCTTTAAAAAAACAATAAACAACATCTAGACCTCTTCAAGTCAAAGGAACACTGCATGAATGTTTGAAAACATGTCGTGTATTTTTTCTGCAGGAAGACTGCTTCCTTGAAGGAATGCTGTGCTGACTTCCAGCAACATTGCAGTTTGCAAGCAAAAGGTTCTTCTTAACGGAAAATGGTTACTTCACTTTTCAAACTAGATTTCTTCAAAAGGAATACTACCTTTTTTAGGTGATATATAATGTCCCATATTTTGCAGGAAAACTGCTTATGAAAAGAACAACTGTATGGAAGACTGCAGCTTGTGAGTCAAACACATTTCGTCGTAAGAAGGGAGTAATGCACATGTGTATTGAATCCTGCACTCAAACTTCAACAGACTTTTGTATTGTAAAATGACGACAAGTTTATCCCATATTGAGCAGGACAAGCTTGCCCTTTCGACACTGTGTCATTAAAGATGAGGAGATGACTGAGGTTCAGGGATTCACCAGGCAACCTATTATATTATATATATATTTATATATTATATATACTCTATATATAGTATATATACTATATATATATATTATAGATTATATATATTTTATATTATATATATTATTTATTATATATATATTATATATATATGATATATACTGTATATATATGATATATATATTATAAATTATATATATTATATTTCTTATATTATATATATGATATATATGATATATATTAAATATATTATATATATTATATATATTATATATACTGTATATATATATAGTATATCAGAGTATATATATATAATATACATTATAAACATATATGTATATACTATAAATGTATACTATATATTATACTATATATACTATATATATTATACTATATATGTATATACTATATATGTATACTATATATGTAAACTATATATATATTATACTATGTATTTTATACTATATATGTATATACAATATATATATATATATATATTCGTATACTATATATGTATATACTATTATGCTATATATGTATACTATATATATTATACTGTAAATGTATACTATATATGTATATACTATATAAGTATACTATGTATGTATACTATATATGTATACTATATATATTATACTATATATTAAATATATATATATATGTGTACACTATATATGTATATACTATCTATATGATATTTTATACTATATATGTATATACTATAGTATATGGTATAGTTACACTATATATATAGTATAATATAGAGATACTATATGTATATACTATGTATATACAATATATACTATATGTATATACTATATATATACTATATGTATATACTATATATATATACTATATGTATATACTATATATAAATACTATATGTATATACTATATATATACTATATGTATATACTATATGTATATACATTATATATATACACTATATGTATGTACAATGTACATAATATTTTTTTTTTACTATGTATATACTATATATATACTATATATATACTATATGTATATACTATATGTATATACTAAATATATACTTCATGTATATACAATGTATATACAATGTATATACTATATATATACTATGTATTTACTATATAAATATCTACTATATGTATATACTATGTATGTACTATATATATACTCTATGTATATACTATGTAAATACTATATATATACTATATGTATATACTATGTATTTACTATATATATATACTATATGTATATACTAGATATATATATATATATACACTATATGTAAATACTATATATATATATATGTCCTTGCTAGAAGAATCAAATCGTTTTGATGCAGCTCATTCCAACTAAGCCAAATCGTGGTCTTCCTAGCGGCATGGTGGTTCTTGGGTTAGCCACTTCCCATTTTTCGTGGACATGAAAATCGAAGCAGGTACGTCGGGATGATCAGTCCCGATATCACAATCTCAAACCACTGTCTTCGTTGGGCAGTGGATGGAATGAGATTCACTGCCCCCCTGCTAGAAGTTTTACATCTTTTCAGATGTTTCACACACACACACTTTCACACACAGAGGCTTTTACACACAGACGCTTTTACACACAGAGACTTTTACACACAGACGCTTTTACACACAAACGCTTTTACACACAGACGTTTTTAAACACAGAAGCTTTTACACACAAACACTTTCACACACAGAGGCTTTTACACACACACACACTTTCACACACAGAGGCTTTTACACACAGAAGCTTTTACACACAGACTCCTTTACACACAGACGCTTTTACACACAGAAGCTTTTACACACAGACGCTTTTACACACAGACGCCTTTACACACAGACGCTTTTACACACAAACACTTTCACACACAGAGGCTTTTACACACACACACACACTTTCACACACAGAGGCTTTTACACACAGAAGCTTTTACACACAGACGCTTTTACACACAGACGCCTTTACACACAGACGCTTTTACACACAAACACTTTCACACACAGAGGCTTTTACACACAGAAGCTATTTTACACAGAGACTCCTTTACACACAGACGCTTTTACACACAGAAGCTTTTGCACACAGACGCTTTTACACACAGACGCTTTTACACACAGACCCTTTTACACACAGAGGCTTTTACACACAAACGCTTTTACACACAGACGTTTTTAAACACAGAAGCTTTTACACACACATACACTTTCACACGCAGAGGCTTTTACACACAGAAGCTTTTACACACAAACACTTTCACTCACAGACGCTTTTACACACAGACGCTTTTACACACAGACGCTTTTACACACAGACGCTTTTACCCACAGACGCTTTTACACACAGACACACACACACACGCTTTTCTTTTATACACACCCAGAGACTTTCACACACACACAGAGGCTTTTACACAGACGCTTTTACACACAGATGCTTTTACACACGCACACACACACACTTTCACACACACAAACATTTTTACACACAGACACTTTTACACACACACACACGCTTTTCTTTTACACACACACACACTTTCACACACAGAGGCTTTTACACACAGCCGCTTTTACACACAGATACTTTTACACACAGAGGCTTTTACACACAGAGGCTTTTTTACAAAGAGACTCCTTTACACACAGACGCTTTTACACACAGAAGCTTTTACACACAGAAGCTTTTACACACAGACGCTTTTACACACAGACCCTTTTACACACAGAGGCTTTTACACACAGACACTTCTACACACAGACGCTTTTACACGCAGATGCTTTTACACACACACATACACTTTCACACACAGAGGCTTTTACACACAGAAGCTTTTACACACAAACACTTTCACACACAGACGCTTTTACACACAGACGCTTTTACACAGACGCTTTTACACAGACGCTTTTACACACAGACGCTTTTACACACAGACGCTTTTACACACAGACGCTTTTACACACAGACGCTTTTATACACAGAAGCTTTTACACACAGAGGCTTTTACACACAGAAGCTTTTACACAGAGACTCCTTTACACACAGACGCTTTTACACACAGAAGCTTTTACACACAGACGCTTTTACACACAGACGCTTTTACACACAGACACTTTTACACACAGACCCTTTTACACACAGAGGCTTTTACACACAGACACTTTTACACACAGACGCTTTTACACGCCGATGCTTTTACACACACACACACACTTTCACACACAGAGGCTTTTACACACAGAAGCTTTTACACACAAACACTTTCACACACAGACGCTTTTACATACAGACGCTTTTACACACAGACGCTTTTACACACAGAGGCTTTTACACACAGACGCCTTTACACACACACACACGCTTTGCTTTTACACGCACACACGCACTTTCACACACACAAACATTTTTACACACAGACGCTTTTACACGCAGATGCTTTTACACACAGACGCTTTTACACACAAACGCTTTTACACACAGACGCTTTTACACGCAGATGCTTTTACACACAGACGCTTTTACACACAAAAACTTTCACACACAGAGGCTTTTACACACAGAAGCTTTTTTGCACAGAGACTCCTTTACACACAGGCGCTTTTACACACAGACACTTTGACACACAGACACTTTTACCCACAGAAGCTTTTACAACACACACGCTTTTCTTTTTTCACAACACACACACCCTTTCACACACAGAGGCTTTTAAACACACAGACGCTTTTACACACATATACTTTACATTCTTTTTACACACAGACCTTTTCCACACAGAGACTTTTTTAACACAACTTTTTGCACAGAGACTCTTTACACACAGGCGCTTTTACACACAGACACTTTGACACACAAACACTTTTACCCACAGAAGCTTTTAACACACAAACACTTTCACACACAGAGGCTTTTTACACAGACACCACACACTTTTACACACAGACGCTTTTACACACAGACACTTTTTAACACAGACGCTTTTTTACACACTAGACGCTTTTACACACAGAGGCTTTTACACACAGAGGCTTTTACACACAGACTTTTACACACAGACACTTTTACACACAGACGCTTTTACACACAGACGCTTTACACACAGACGCTTTTACACACAGAGGCTTTTAACACACAGACGCTTTT